GCCTTACAGTTTGAATTTTTTCATAAACATCTCATTTTGCCGAATTTTACAAAAAAAGCAAGGTTAACCCCTTTCAATCTGCAATTTTCTACAAACTTCTGATTTTGCCCTAATTTGGCAAAGGTAACCCCTTACAATTTTTGATTTTTCATACAAATCTGATTTAGCCCAATTTGGCTAAAAATGCAAGGTTAACCCCTTACAATCTGACTTTTTTCATAAACACCTGATTTTGCCCTATTTTGCTAAAAAGTGCAAGGTTAACCCCTCGCAATTCGAAAAGCAAGGTTAACCCCTTACAATTTGAAATTTTTCAGAAACATCTCATTTTGCCCAGTTTTGCTAAAAATGCCAAGTTAACCCCATACAATTCTGCAATTTTTCCAGAAACATCTGATTTTTCCCAATTTCGTTTACAAAAATGTAGGGTTAACCCCTTACAATTTGAAATTTTTCATAAACATCCAACTTTGCCAAATTTCACTAAAAAAGCAAAGTTAACCACTTTCAATCTGCGATTTTCCAAAAACATCTGATTTTGCCCTAATTTGGCAAGGTTAACCCCTTACAATCGTTGATTTTTCATACAAATCTGACTTTGCCCAATTTTGCTAAAAATGCAAAGTTAACCCCTTACAATCTGAAATTTTCCAGAAAGATCTGATTTTGCCCAATTTCGCTAAAAAATGCAAGGTTCACCCCTTACAATTTGATTTTTTTCATAAACATCTAACCCCATACAATCTGCAATTTTCCAGAAACATCTGATTTTTCCCAATTTTGCTAAAAATGTAAGGCTAACTCCTTGCAAACTGTTAAATCAATACATGAAGTGACCCATTTGACTTTTTTAAAACAAATTATATTTTCAGTTTTTAGGGTAAAGAAATGTTCTCTTTTTCCTTTCTCTTTTGTTGTTGCTATATTTTGCGAATTAACTCATTCGTATGGAAGATCATAGTCAATCAAAGAATATTTCACACATAGGGGCCTAAATTATATTTTTTAAATTTAATAGAGACGCAATGATCGTGCTATCTTATACCATTCTATTACTATTGCGAATTACTGTATTGTTTTTGGAATGCTCACAATTAAAGACACGTTATTTGAAAGATGTATAAATAATAATAATAATACAATGTACATCTTTATTCTTTCCCGGTATAATTTATGGCGTTTCTTACGTCAATTGGCAATCGCGTCATTATATAATGATAGTCAAATTGATCAAACGAAACTCCGTTTTGATTATAGTCAATTATAAAATATTCATTGATTTATGACAACCACCTTTGTTTCAATTTTGATACTACCCGTAGCTGTAGATATCAAACTAAACCAAAGTATAAAAGATAGAGGGTAAAAAAAAAATCAAAAAGTTATGTGCTGGTCAAGCTTTCAGGGATCGGTCTGAGCCATAACAATGCCCCAGCCGATCCCTTAGTTCTCTTCCGGGGTCTCGGCGTCCCCGACCAATACACACTTCCTTCCCTATCCATCCATATAACCCCGGAGGGCCAGGCACCATGTAAAAGCAAAGAGCTAAGGGAGGAACAGGGCGGCCCCTAAGCCCTGATCCTCCGAGTGGACCACATGCCCTGAACCTGTACGAAGGCGCCAACCTGGAACTCGCGGACAGTACCAGCAGCAGTGCTTACCGATTAAGCTAAGGTACTGTTGGTACTTTACGACGGGAAATTAAATCTCTTATAGTAAATGATTGAACTTATACGTTAAAAACCAAAAAGACACCAGCGGGATTCGAACCCGGGACCCCGCTAATCGTGAACTACGAATCGTAACCACTCGGCCATTTCGTTACCTTAGAATTGTCCTTAAACTGAGAAAAGTTGTCTTTATAGGTGAGCAAACGCGCCAGGAAGATTACTGGGTCCATTTGCTTTACCTTAATGGGTAAAAACAAGTCGATATAATGAGCCCAGTGCGTTTGGTTTATTAGGAAGCTGCATAACACAGCCTAATGTGCAAAACAGTCGTGTGCTAGCTAGGCGGATCATTACGCAACAATGAACACCGCAATTGTGTATTTTCAAAAGGCAAACGCGTAGATTTCTACTCTTTGTATCTGGGCACATATAGATAATCATTCTCACCTCCCTCTTCAGCTATTTCGACTTTCTTAAAAAGAAAAATAGAGACTGTCAGCGAATCTCCGGGAGTTGAAATCAGGATCGTCCCCTCGATAGACCTCAGACTCAGTAAAGTTCAACATTGGGCTCTTTTTCAACAGCTGTTTTTGCGGAAACTTTACATCTGGATTTTTTAGAAGCATCTGATTTTGCCCAATTTTAGTAAAATATGCTCCAAATTTTGCTAAAAAAGCAAGGTTAACCCCTTACCATTTTAGATTTTTCATACAAATCTGATTTTGCCAAATTCCACTAAATATACAAGGTACACCTCTTTCAATTTAAAATGTTTCATAAACATTTCTTTTTGCCCAATTTTGCTAGAAATACAAGGTTAAGCCCTAACAATCTGCAATTTTCCAGAATCATCTGATTGTGTCCTATTTTGCTAAAAAAAAAATGCAAGGTTAACCCCTTACAATTTGAATTTTTTTCACGAACATCTAATTTTTTAATCTTATTCAAAAAGTAAGGTTAACCCCTTACAATCTGCAATTTTTCAGAAACATTTGATTTTTTCCCATTTTTGCTTTAAAAAAATGCGAGGTTAACCCCTTTCAAATTTTTTGCAACATCTAACCTTGCAAAATTTCACTGAAAAAGCAACGTTAATCCCTTACATCTGAAATTTTTCGGAAACATCTGATTTTGCCCAATTTCGCTAAAATATGCAATGTTCACCCCTTACAATTTGATTTTTTTTCATAAACATCTAATTTTGCCCAATTTTACATCAGCTTATGCTAACAAATTATCAGGTAACTGGGACAGGTGCACATCGGCCTTGGAGCTCAGCCCATGTGTCATGCACTCCTCAGTGCATAGATGATGCACATAACACTATGGGTAGTACAGGCACAGCTGGGGGTACTGCCCAAACAATGATGAACGCATTGCGTATGCTTAAAGAATTACCCACAATTCCGGTTTACCGTTTAGGTCTGGCTCTAATTACTTCACGCGATCCGCTGACGTCTCATACACTAGCTGACTTTAGGCAAAATAGTCAGACTTTTGCGGTCTAGTAACCAGACTTTGACTCTTAACGAAACATCGAATGAAAAGGGAAACATCAAATGCATACTGCAAAAGCTCGAATGCAAACATACCCATGAAACATCGAATACAAATAGATCGAAATGTCAAACATATGTGTAAAACATTGCTCACATATTTGAGAATATCGCAAATATATTGTAAAACAACACACACAATTGTATCGAAAAACATCGCACATTTAATGCAAAAAGATCGGACATAATATTGAAAACATCGCACATATATATCGTCAAAAACATCGCACATATAAATTGAAAATTGCATATAATTAATGTAAAACATCGCACACATATATTGAACATCGCACATATATTGTAAAACATCGCACAAATAATTATATTAAACATCGCGCAAATAATGAAAAACATCGCACACTTCTTATTCCTCCATGCTTATATCGGCGAACAGATCTGTATGTATATTTGACTTGACATGGGTAGGTCGTTTATGTAGAGGATGAATAGTAACGGTCCGAGCACCGAGCCCTCCCCACCATAGTACATCTGCTTGAGACGAGGCGGCATTTACAGTTAGTTCTCCCCATTAGGAAGTCCTGTATCCAATCTAGTACTCTGCCTTTACACCCGTACGCTTGTACAACTTAGCTTGTTTATCAGCCTCTGGTGTGGAATCGAATCAAATGCTTTGGCATTGTCAAGAAATATTATCCCCTGGTCTAAAGTTGCCGTCACTTCAGGTCTCCAGTATATAGGTTGGTCAAACTAACACGATTTGCCTTTATGAACCATGTTGTCTGTCAGAAAGTGTACTTTAATCTTCGACGTGTTCCAGTAACCTGTTCTTGCAAGACAATTATTGTTTCAAGTATCTTACATGGGATGCACGTTATATATAGGCTGAGTGCAGGTCTGCAGTAACTTTTAGCACCGGGTCCTTTAGCACCGGGGAATTAGATCCTGGACAGGACTCGATCAGCTCCTTCGTGACGGTCTTCCTGTGTGAAGTCAGCATCGTCCAATTCATTTTCAACAGTGTCTTATTCTGGGACATCCATCTGGTTTCTTTGTTTTGACTTGGGTTTTGATTTTGAACAATGTTCCTTCAAAATCTCACCCGCTGCAGAATCTTGGATGATCATGCCCGCTGCGACAGCGGAGTCCCCTATCGCCCAACACACTTGGACGTTTCACTCGACTTTCCTCATAAAGTATTGGCAAACTTAATTTCTCGCTCTTCCTCAACGAATGCAAGAATATAGCGAGTTCTGTTAGTGCCCTCAAGGACTAAGACCACACAAGAACCATTGCGTTGCTTGCAGATTCCGATTATGTGGAGAAATAAGGTATATGAAGTAGAAGAAGAAAGAGGAAATACAGTCTCATTCAAAGACTTGGTCAGCTTTGTGGATCGACTTTCACGAATAATCTCCAAAGGTCGGTCTAGACTTTAAAGTGGCGCACTTGAATAAATCTTCGGAAAAAATCACAACGGCCTTTATTTAAAAATCTTCTCCACTCATCATAAAAGAATGTAGGCTATACCCCACTGAACTAGAACTAAGTTATAGTCAGCAAATTATTTTCTTTAAATTTGAGCGCGTTTTTAAAGGGTGCACTTCAAAATAAAATCGGAAAATCACCCCAAAATAATTTCTCTGTTAAGTTTGTTACGGGCAGGTAAACTCAAGATTTAACCGGAATATCTGGAGCCGGGGCCTTGTGTTGCTGCACTACCCCCGTGGATGATGAACATGCCCCTCCCACATACTGGTGGTCATCGATCATGTACATTGCCACTGGTGACCATATGCACAATGTATGCGGCGGGCCGGCCGGGTACCATCACGAGAGCGTACGTACATACCCGGTCGTATGAAATTGTAAACACGACGGAAAACCTATATTTGCAACGAGAATGCTACCTGGAAATGGATTTTAGTTCGCACGTGTCTATGAAAAATAAATATAGCAAACACTGTGCTGTGGAAGTTTTGGAGGCATTGCACTTTTCTACGTAGCTTTTGAGTTGTAAATGCCGAGTGTTACCAACACGCAACAAGAGGCCATTGTTTAGAAAGCATTGCCATTGGACTCCATCAGTCCATGTGTTAACTGTAGCGTAGGCTGCGGAGCGCTTCTGATCCATAGTGCACGATGTCGGGAATTGAACTAAAACCGATCTCGGAGTCAGCAGTTGGACGCCCAAACTTTCTGTTGCCGCTTGGCAAAACGGTTCTCGGAAGGGGTCCTGTTTTAGGGGTAAGAATGGGATTTTTCGTATTGAAAACCAGACACATTGTGTAGCCGTTGATTAAATGTGTATAAAATTTATTATGTGTTGAGTAACTCCCATATGGTCTAGTGGTTAGGATCCGGCGCTCTCACCGCCGTGGCCCGGGTTCGATTCCCGGTGTGGGAAGTTCAACTCTTTTTTTTAATTTTTCTTTTTTGAATTTTTTTAAAAACTTTTTAATTGTATCAAAGCACAGCAATCAAGTTGATTTTGGGATTAATTGTTTAGTTAATTTTCCTGTTTTTTCTCAATATTTTAATTTGACTTATTAATTTTAGGACAGTATTTCGAAGTTCTTAATCTTGCCGCAGTTTACAGGAACAAATTAGTGATGTCCATGTGTGGAATTCTTTTTCTGGAAAAAATGTTAAAACCTGACGCCACTTTTTTCTTCATATATCATCTCAATGAAGGACATTCATTGCAAAAATAATGATAAGACATAAATCTGGGACTGAGAAACAATTCCAAATTTGTTATGAAATACTTACAAAATTTTCTTGACGCTCCATAGACTTTATACCCAATTGCGGAAGTGGCGTCAGGTTGCAACATTTTTTCCCTCCCTTTAACATATCATAACATATGATATTGCATATGAAAAATACAAGTCATACTTTTAACATTTTTCTTTGACTGATTTTGTAACGATTTTTCTCTCAGGACGTTGACTCGGAATTTATGATGGCATTTTCTCTTGCCCCTTTCGGTACAGGTTTCTGACAAGAGGGTTTCAAGAAATCATGGCTTGGTCGAGGTTGAAGATGGAAAACTCAAGATTATGTCTGTAAGTGTCTGTGGCAGGAGATGAAACATGAATAAATGGATTATATCTGTTGTATCTGCTGTGATCATATTCCTATGTGATTCTTCTTGGTTTTTGTTTTCAGACACACACCAACCCCACCTTTTACCAGGCCAAGGGGACCTCCAAGCTCCTCCCCCTCTCCAAGGATGTCTGGCAGTTTCTGGAGCACGGTGACAGGATAGCACTCACCCCTGATCAGCATGTCTATGAGGTGGTGATAGACGAGAGACCTTATATCAAGAGCTCACAAAGCCTTGGGTAAGACATATGGGGGAAAGATTTCCATACCTGGACATCACTTAAGTCACCCTGTGCACAAACCCTATGAGACTGGTCTGAAATTTCTAAGTGTTTTCTCAGCACCGGTAAATGCCTCAATGTTTTCCCTGCTAAATTTGACTGTTAAGGGCATATTATCACTTTCTGATGGCAGATAGGGAAACATTTGTAATGGCCAGGTATGGGAATCTTTCCCATCTGGGTATGGATTGCGGTAGGCTTGGTGACTCTATCCCAAGAAAAGTCTCAAAATACTGAACTTCCTCCACATTGTGAGCCACACAGTAATGCCTGCTAAATTTCCTGAAAAGTTATGTTACCGAATCTAAAATCTAGACTGTGTTTCTACTTGACATCGACTATGGAAGCTACCCACCTGGTTTAAAATCGGGAAATCAAAGTCCGTACCTCTTGATGCGAGAGGTCGTCTTCAGCCGACGCCTTCTCGGGATCCTCTGATGGTTGCCTTCCATGCATCCTGGTCCAGCACCAGCGTCCTTCTTCAGCTGGTTGGCGTACAAAGAGTCTCCTCCTGCCCCTGCCCTTGGATCCATCGATGGGTTCCCACAGTACTAGCGGGTTCGTAGCTAGCTCTGGGTGACACACACAGTGGGCCGCCAGCCTCATCCTCCGCTCCCTGACCTTGGTAGAGACTCTGGGCAGGGCGTCGTAGAGCTGGATGTTGGGCCCGCGGTCTTCCCTACCTCTAGGCACCTACACTTAGTTATCGTGTAAAAACCTGCAGTCCTCTCCAACAAACTTTCTCAAAATTTCCCCTGAAAATTACAGGATAAGTAAACATGTAAAGCAGGCATGCAGGCATGCAGCTTTTCCTCGGATCCGCTGATTTCCTCGTTTTTAACTTCTCATGAATGCCATTACAAATTGAAAAACACTGTGCAAAGTCTTGTGTGGTTTTGAATTTCCTTGGGTTTTTTTCTGAATTCCCAGTTGTATGCCTGGTAGAGATTTGATTTTACAAACTTTTTAACCAGGTAAGTGCAGCTTCCATAGTGAATATCAAGTGGGAAAACGGTCTAAATTTCAATTTCGAGGAACACGACTTTTCAGGAAATTTAGCACGCATCGTTGTGAGGCTCACAGTGCAAAGGACGTCTAGTAATTGAGACACATTTATGATGAGGCTAAGGTGACTCCAAACCTTTCAGAATTGATCCTTTGTGTTATTTAATGGAATGTTTTTAATGGAATTACAGAAGTGTTTGTTTAATGCACTGCTGTTTTAATTTTGTTTTCTCCACACAAATGACAGTTCTTTGACTGACTCTCCGGTCAAGGAGTCTCCAAAGAAACCACAAAAACAGACTGAGGACGTAGAAGAGAACAGAGGACTGCAGGAAAATAATAGAAAGGAGAACTCAACAGGTAAAACAAAATCAAGATCTTTGGAGAAAACTTCATCCATAATTGGATTTGTTCTCATTAGAAGGGTTTGCTCTAGAAGTCAGTCAGATCAAGTCGAGTGTGTTTTCATTTTCAAGGAAATAAAAAAGAAAGTAGATCTTTGGTGGTTTACACTTGCAAATCTGTTTTATTTGGATTTTATCTAAGATAACGTGGTACAAAACTGAATTTTGGAAGACTTGTCCCTGCCTTTCCAAATCATGTTATTGGCTGTAACCACTTGAATTTGGCGATTGAACTTAAAGTAATGATTTATTGAGAGGAACATTGCTTACCCTAACCCCCCTCAATCTTTTTGGAGGATTGAGGCTGAATGTCAACAAGTTTCGGTTGATTTTGGAGGATGAATTACGTCAAGTTTGTAGGTTGTACCCGGCATTGTTTATGTTCATCTGTGCATAATTGAGCCCTGCATTAAGCTCGTTATCATTCGCACTGTTTCTGAATGTCATCGGCATTGCTTCAACCCATTAACAGTGCTTGTCGGAGGATTCTGCAGGATTCGAAGCAATGGTCACCCCTTCACTGAACAAATTCAAGAAATAACGGATGATTTTGGAGGATTGAGGCTGAATCCAATTTGTACATCTTGGTAGTTAGAGGATTTTGCAGGATTGAGGATGATTCCCAGCCTATGGGTCTAGAGGGTTAGGGTTAAAAGTGAAGATAAGACTAATATCAGATACTAACATTGAAGGTGTTTTCAGAATTACGTGTGTCAGCAACAAAATCCAGTTACGAGACCCAATAACTTATGCATACGTTTTCTCTATTTTAGGAAAATGTATAGTTTCCACTGAGCTGAAACTTCAACAAGTTATTCACAGTACTTGAGATCTTGAGCAATTTATTTTTTTGCTTTAAACAAAAATAGTGCACAGAAAGCCAATGATCCTACACACCTTAAAGGTACTGATGTAATTATTTATCTCTTCCTTCTGCCTTTACAAGGTGCTGATGAAAAGAATTGGTTGAACAATTCCAACGGGGGGTCGAAGCAGACTGCAAAAGATGAAGAAAATGAGAACGAAAGAGACAGAACTAAAGACGACGAAAGCGATGATGCAGCGGAGAAACAGGATGACGAGCTTCCAGTCACACAAATACAGGTAAGAATACAAGTATAGAATGCCACTACGAGAGTGAATGATCATCCTCTCGTACTTGTCACCAGATAGTCTTGTGAATTGACTTTTGGTTTACTTGTGACCGAACCAGACTTGTGATGGACATGTGACGGTACAAGACTGCAGGTTGGGTGCAGAATCATTGGACACTCACCGGTTTTACACTCGCCAGGTTTACCCAAGTGATTTTGTTCATTGCAAACAAGTTTTTACATTTTATTGATCTACATATTTGTGTTCTTAATACTGTGAGTTTGGCCCAAGGTTCTTACATTACTGTTTATATTATTTTATGAGGAAATTTCAGTGTGACTTTTTATGGCAATTGAACAGAACAAACGTGGTACAGTGACACTACCGGGCCAAAAGGAGATGGCTCTTCCTTTGGAGAAAGAGCGGAAGCTACCGGATTGGATGACCCAACTTGGAGGAAGTTCAAGCACTGCAAAAGACAAACCTGCACAGAAAGAAGCCGGCAGGGGCAGGGGTAGGGGGAGGGGTAAGCATAATTTCATGTTCTAGTTTACAGTAGAGAAGGAATAAATGTGGATCAACAGGCTTGGGCTCGTGGGAGATACTCCCACCAAACTCTCCTTGCTCGACTGGAAGGTTGTGGGGTTGTTTAGGATTTTTATTTGCTGACAAACCTTTGTTACCAGTGAACATGGTCGCTCATATTTTTTTCATCAAATTGCTCATTTTTTTTTTTTAAAGTTTGAAATATCCCCGTTCATAAATCTTGAGTTTTTATACTGACCTGTTACAAAGTTACAAGAGGAATGTTATTTGAATGCAATTTTCTTGATTTTCCGCCGAAGCGTGTAGTGTAACCTTTTAAAATCATGTATGTAGATAATTTTCTGAGAAATATGAAATGAGGTTTGTGAATGGAGAGAAAAAGTTTAATCATAATTAGTCTTTAACCCTTACAGAACTCAACACATCAAACCCCAACGGCATGTTTTGTTGGAATCTGTCAGGATGGGTACAGTGTTCCTAAACTGACGGTCTTTTACATTGGGATGGTACACCTCCAGAATCAAAGTCAGAAATTTGTGTGTGCAGTTTCCCATATGGTGTTGGAATTTGCCAGGATGGGTGTGGTTTCTGTTAAATCATGCTAGGGAGTTGCAGTTAGTGTAATATTGAGCTACATGTATACTATGTAGTCTGCTCTAAAGTGTCATTTGTTCTGGGACAAACTGGTAATGAGCTAAAAACAATTGCTATATCTACCACAGGAAGACCAAAGGCTTCAAGCGCCACCGCTGCAGCAACACCTAAAGCCACCCCGAAAAGAAGCAAGAAGCTACCTTCAATCAGCGACGAGGCCAGCGAGGAAGAATACGCACCAGCCGTTGTCAAGAGAACACCCAGCAGGGGGAGAGGACGTCCCCGGGGAAGGGGAAAGGGGCGGGGGAGGCCCCAACAACGCCCGAGTGATGACGAAGAAGAAGAACAGGTCATCAGTGTGCCGGTCGAGGAGGAGATTGCAGAGGAAGAAGGGCCCAAGAGATGGGGTCACGGCAAGACCAGAGACCAGGCCGCAGTCAAGAGGAGAGCCAAGCTGGCCATGGACTACTCAGAAGATTTCATGCCTAGTGAGGAAGATGAAGAAGATGAGGAGGAGCTACCTGTGCCGGAAGGAGACGATGGGAGCGACTGGGAACCTGAGTCTCACAGTCCAAGATTGGTGAGGACCAGTTTCTAAAACATCAAACCCTGCAAGTTTGTCCCCTTATTGTTGGCCATAAAGTTATACAAACTGCAAAATCTTGTGATCTCTCTTCCCTCACCATGCTAGGAAAATAAATGACTTCAACACTAAAATGAATGACAAAGTTAAGGATGGTTTGTGATGACATAAAAAGAAAGATTAAAAAAAGGAGCTCTGGTAGTCAGACTTACGTCTGGGTCATCTCTGGTCACCTCAGCACTATGAACACTGCCATGATGTAGTGGTTGCAGTTTCTGACTCTAGGGTGTAATGCAAGTACAGGCCTCTTCAGGGTTCATGGTACTTATGTTCTTTGGCAAGATACTTTACAAAGATTGCCTCTTTCTGCCCATGAGTATATAAGTTGGTACCTTTTCGAGTGGAGAATGGATTGCACTGAATTAACAAAAATTGACCTCATGGCCTGGTGAACAGGGGTAATTTTTTTTTGCAAGATGGATTTTGCGTAGGAGAGATGTAAAGTTTATAATGGGTTTTCCCCTTCACCGACTTATTTATAAACACTGCATTTGTGAAGTGCATTGAGATATTTACAAGCACCTCATTTTGTGTGACCTCTGCAGACGAGAACGCCCTCAAAGGGGAAGAGAACTCCAGGACGAACTCCCGGAAGGACACCAGGAAGGAGAGCAGGGGGACGGAGGTACAGCAGACAGAGCTCAGACGAGGAAAGCGACTTAAGTGAAGAGGAAGTCTACATCCCAAGGTATGTAATACACTTGAGGTTTAACCCTGAAAGACCCAGGGGGGGGGGGGGGGGGGGGGGGGGGGAGGGGGGGGAGAGAGGGGTGAAGCAGACCCTTCCTGTACATTTTGCAGATATCCCTGTGGATTTTTATTTTCATGCTGAACCTTTTTATGCAGACTCATGTCTTGTGGACGTTCTGACACTAATTTCTTAAAAAACAAAAAAAATGTGTGTGTAGTGTTTGTGCACAATACAAATTTTGTGGACGGTTTAACTCAAATGTCATTTTAACCCTTTGACGCCGGGTGACGGCTTTAGACGCGGCTCAATGAAAGCCGATAAGCAGGGGAATTGCTATAGCCGCATTCCTGTAGCCGCATTCCATTTGTAGACAACGGCCGAATGCCTGCACGTACACATTCCACTCGAAGTGCAGCTGTCCATGGCCTAACAGTTATGGCGTTGAGGGATTAAAAAAAGTAGATATAGAGTTTGTGCAAAATACAACTTTTCGATGTTGGGTACCGAAAAATATTTGAAATTTCTGAGGTTCAGTTCTTGCACAGGCATACATTTCCAGTGTACTTGTCAGACTCAGCAAAGGATGTGACTGCAGAATGACTGTGATGGTGATCATAAAGCACAGTTTTCCTGCAAGCAGAGCCTTGAAATTGGGCCCATGAAATTTTGCGTGATGGTTCCATTTATACACAACCCTGTGGGATTTTGTACGTTAAGTTTGTTTGTCTCAGATTCTTCGCATTCCGCGTCCATTTGTATATCATGTAATGGGACTATATTCCACAAGCTGCGTTGACGCGATTCTACCGCGATAGTTTAATTGTTCTACCATTGTACAGACACTAGTAAAAGAAATTGATAATACGGTAAAAAAGGTAAAGGTCCCATAGCCATTACTGGCCGTAGGGGCAGTGGGATGTTAGAGGTCCACTGTGTCTTGGGTGAAGCATATGAGTGGTGGTGCCCATCTCCTCTCCTCTCACCGTCTTACCTTCCCTGAATGAATCAGGTACCCATTTTACTGTTGGGTCGTCAGAGAGAGTTTTCCAGTTTTTGGTCGGAATCGCCAACCTTCCACTCCGTAGCTCCATGCTCTAACTGCTCGGCTCCGAGGCCCGTCTTTTTGATAATGAAGTTGTACATAAACATCAGAAGGTGATTTACATGTTTAAAATTAAACGGTTCCACAGACCAACCAAACGATCTGGACGAGCCACCTCAAGCAGTCTAGAGATCGATTCACAAGACATGCCGGTAAAGAGATCTAAGAAGACAGACAACGGGAAGAAGAAACGAGAGCTCTGTCAGTTTGGCAAGAAATGCTATCGGTGAGTTCGAACATCACAGGAAAAGTATTAGGACCCTTTTTAACAGAAGCATGGTATGGAATGCGGTAATGAAAAGCTGCATATTGTGCTGTAGAAAGCATTCACACCAAACTAGGCAGTGAAATGTTGATTTTTATGCAGTTTATGCAAAAAGGTTGCCAGGGCGACATCAAGGCATTCTGCGGTAGAGTCCGATGATCGATGGTCGGCCGCTAACATACACAGCACTCATGTCACACGTACGTACTGTACGAAGTGCGAACAGCGACCTCACACTGCTGTGGTGCTGAATGAACGTCTTAGAACATCCGTGGGCATTGGCTTATGGTTTTTTTTGTTGCTGGATTTTCAGCGATTAGTCCGTATGCGAATAAACATGCGTTTATTCTTTAGTACTTTACAGCCATGTAATTCAGAATATAAGCAACGATGTCAAGTGGCCCATTAAAACCAGCATGTTCCCTTTTTTTATCTCTGCAAAATCTCTTCTGCCGTGCACAATGTAAGCAGGCCCCAAGCCATCAGATTTCAAGATTGTTATTAAGAAACACAATTTAGCTTTCATGGGCTTACAAAACGATTTCCAGACAGAACTGATCCTCTGATTTGTTGCAGTACACAATCATTTTAAAGGAACCAAATTATTATGGCAGTGTCAATTTTTGTCAACATTAGAATGTACCCCTTTACATTTTAATTGTATTGTGAATCCCTTCTATTGAATTTTATGACTAGTTTGACTAAAACTAATGATCTACTCTTGTTTGTTATCAAAAGCTAATTGAATATATGTTATTTTGCCAAAACGTTGCTGCATGACAGGAAAAATCCCCAGCACAAAGAGGAATTTGCTCATCCGGGAGATTCTGACTATGAGTCGGAAAGATCTGACGATGGTGCTGATGATGATGATGATGATGATGAAAAAGAGGAATGCCCATTTGGAACAAACTGCTATAGGTAAGATTCATTCAGCAACTAGGTGTTATACAATGTACAAATGGATATAGACGTTTTTGGTTGTATACACCATGTCACATTTGTTTACAACATTGGAAGTTGTATCACGTGAAGCCAACTTCAATACACTGTTCTCTTCTGTACTGCATGCATATCTTTTAAAGATATAGTCCATCATTTGTAATTTGTGCATTTTGTTTGTTTGAAGCAACAAAAGTGTTCAAAATCTAATGAAGGATACTGAACAACTAACCTGATGAAGTTCTGTATATTCCGAGAAAAACAGCATTCTAGGATCTCAATTTCAAATCAAAAGTTGCTGAATCATGTTTTGAATTGTATTGAATCGCAGCTATACACGATGTCCCGCACTGATCCGATGAATTATAGCAACCGCACGGGCCTGTGCGTCGTGCCAATGCTTGCGCGCGCTGCGCCGAATAACAAAACAAACTACTAATTTAAATTTTCCTACAGTGCGTCTTAAGATGCACCGTTGGAAAGGCCTTCTTTCGTTGATTACTTCGAAACGATAGCTTGCCAGAAAGATTAATTTCACAGGGAGTTTAGTCCACTTACTATCTTTCAACCAAGTATGTTTTTCAACAATAATACGCCAGTTACTTTGTCGGATGGCTGCAAATGATGGACTATAGCTTTAAATATGAGTGGTTAATTACAAGTGGTGGCACATGTTGTTTAATGTTGGCAAAATAACATGCAAAAGACGATTCAGTGTTTGGATTGCCTGTCAGTTTGACATCACAGGTGACAATGGCTATACATGTAGCCTCTGGTTATAGAATCTGTATATGATTTCATGAAGAGTTCATTTCCAGAACGCGAAATTTCTGTTTGAAAAAAAATTGGGAAATTTGTATTTGTAAGAAAACTTAAAATAATATAAAACAGGTATTTTTAAACTTCTTTTTTTTTTTGCGTTATTGTATTCGTAAATTGTGGATAACTATATAACATCCGTCAAAATTGACTTTGGGCAGACAGGAGAGAGCAGGATATTCTAAAAGGAAACAAAATGGCATATATCGTGGTTTGAAAATAAACTCTTCATGTATGTAAGCTGTAAATGGATTTTTGCATATGTAGCGCAATATGTGACCTCTTTTGTGTTGGTCATTGTGTAATTACCAGAATCTCATGAATTCTTTTGAGATATCTAGGGGGGATGAGTTAGGTAACAATAGTCTTGGGTACCGCTCTGTCACATATCATGCTGGGTATAGATTTCCATGCCAACACATTAACAACGAGTGGCAGAGTGAATTAAAGACCTGGAAGAAACTTACCATTGTTAAAGGCCTTGCAAAAATATAAGTCCTATTAAATTTGGCTCAGACATCCTCGTCATGTGTATAACCTTACTTTTATGTTTACTGGTTGGCTCAAGCACACAACCTGTTCACATTAGAATTCACTATAAACAATAGATGTCATGGAACTCTGCATCAGAGGATCACTAAAGTGGACAAGTTTTGAGGATTCTGTGTGTTCATGATTGTGGTTACAAACTATACATGTCACAGGCATACTGAGGTGACTTTGGTTACTTGGAATAAAAACATAACATTGGTAATTTTTGTTAAGGGCCCGTCTCAAGTCTTATCCTGGACAAACTCCAGACAAGTTGTCAACTTTTGTATCGGGTATAAGTTGTAGGATTCTTAACAAGTTCCCCCCAGTCTTCCTGCAATGAAGTTGGTACTAATGAAAGTTTCCCTGTGACATGTCTGTGACAAATGCAGAGCTTCTTCCAGATGCAGTGAATGATTCTACCCTCAACTTGTCCGGAACTCTTCCCAGATATGAATTGAGACGGGCCCTTACAAATAAAATTATAAATACTTTAAATTTGATGTTTATCAAAGGATCGCTATACAAGTTTCAAGGATCCTGTAATGATTATTGAATTGTACTGTGCATTATACGTCGCAGGCAAACTGATGCGACTTTTGTTACTCTGAATTAAAACAAATGGTATTTTTTGTTAAAATTAAATCCAAATGCTGTTTTTGTATCCATTTTATTTATCAATTGATAGGAAAAACAGGAGGCATTTAGAACAATACAAGCACACCAAGGCGCCTGGCCGGCCAAAGAGACAAGCTGCAAGGAAGATAGGTACTAAAACTCACTATCGGTTATTTTGGAATTGTTACATGTATGTAGTTGCATGTATAATTCCTTAAAGGGAAAATACAACATTTGCAAACATCAAAAAATAAAACTGCTATATCGTTTTGAAATACCTTGCTGGACTGTTAGTGAATGACAGTGTAAAGCATCCTGTAAAATCATGGCACCTGGTATACTGTCATTTTCAAGAAAAGTGGTATTTTGTATCAATTTCCAATGCTGATCGGCCGATTAGCGTTGGAAAAACTGGCTTTTTTTTCAAATACTGGCCCCAATTGACCATCGCACTTGTTTGCAATCGATTACAAACCTATGAGCGGGTACGAGCCAGCTAGATTGGTTCCCTGACCTTACAATTCCCCAATGTATGTACACTGCTCTGTTTCTTCTTATATGGAGTCAGGGAACCAGACTACAGGAAAATGATTGTTTTTCTTGGTTTTTATAGCATTTTCGAACCCAAAACCTCAAAAAAGTCAGTGTAACTATATTTGCAATATATATCCAACCCCCAATTCCATCCATTTCTGAAAATTACAGCAAAAGCAAATGATGTATATTCCCTTTAAATGGGGAAAGTTAACACTTTTGTTAACTTTTGAAAACCTATGTGTCTTGGAAGTGAAACAATTTAGTTTGGAATACTGGCAGTTGTGCAATAAAGTTCTTTATTACAAGTATGTCTACTTGTCCAGTTTTCCTATACGTACATGTTTACATGTGTACATATTGTGTACAGACATGTATACATGTATAAAACAGTACCCAACCTACCAGTTATTCCTTCTTTTTTGGCAATGTTTAATACCAATTTTATTTTGTCAAACAGGCAAATCCTGTAATGCATGTACATCAGAATGCACTAACTATGCCCTTTGGATTTAAAACTAGTTTTAGATTTAAAAAAGTACCGTCTTTTGGCTGATTACAGTTGCTTGTATTAGTTATTCATTGCAAAGTTGTAATCAGCAAATCACCATTTGGTTACAATTCAAATGACATTTCAGTTTGCAAGTAACATATTTCACATTATTCATTGCAAGTGTCACCTGCATTTAGGCAGGATGACTGTACTTGTTATTGGCTTGTAATGACATGCAATAACTAATTGATTACAAATCTGCTTTGTTTCCAATAAAATCTACTTAATTATTCGCTTCAAACTTTTTCGCTCTATTGTTTCCAATAAAATCTTCTTAATTTTTCGCTCTGAAAATACAGCAACGCTTGCGGATGGTGACAGTGATGATGACGGTGAGGCCAACACCTACGACTATGGTGACAGCTTCATTGACGACGGGACCCAAGAAGCGGGCAAAGCGTCTGATCCCGAGTCCGACGATTGGACACCAGGAGCTAAGGATGATGACGACTGAAATCTGGAAACTCTTTTTCGTCCAAGATTAGAAGATGCAGACTGAATCCAAAGTTGAGTTACGTCACAGAGCTGTAGTTCAGTCCCCAGAAGTAGAGTTGAAATTGAATCAGCACAAGTCACTTATCACAAGTCAGGTCGGGGAATAAACAAAGACAAATGATTGAATCAAATTTGGTTTTGCCTTTCTCCGACGTTTAAACACTGTATACTCAGTGTATTACCTCCCGAGTGAAAGTTTGAAAAAATCACTTGGATGGGACCCGAGTGATTTTTTCCAACTTTCACTCGGAAGGTAACACACTGAGTATACAGCATGTACAGTGTTTAAACGTCGGTGAGGGGCAAAACCTAATTTGATTTATATCACCCCGACGCAAAATTCCATCTTATAATAGGTTATGCGGTACCCACTGCTATGTACATCAGATTCGAACCAGCCAACCGATCCTGTTAGCTTGGTGGTCGAGTGGTACGACATCTGCACTAGAAGGCAAGAGGTCATGGGTTCGTCTGGCATCGAGGTTCGTGAAAACAGTCCTGCGCCTGGGTCCGGTCAGTGTCAAAATAACACTGGCGTGAAGTGGTTAAACTTGAGAAATTGCCTTCTCAAGGCGAATGCTTTGTGGTGCACTGTATTGTGAATGGCTCCTATTGCATCTGCACAGTGGTTGAAGCACAGAAAGCCTGTTCGCTCTGTGCGTTTGGTTGCTCACTTGCGCTTCTTGACACCAACAAGCTCATAATGTCCATGGCCAGATTAATTTTAGGGCAGCTTTTGTTACATTATATTTTAGGTCTTGATCCAGCGACACATATCTTATGAACACTTAGTAATGTAGTGCCTCTCATTTTCAGTTGTAAGAAAGTTATAAAAGACAAACAATTGACAAATCAAGCACAATTAACTTTCAAATCGATTTCACATAATAGTAAAAAATAGAAGTTGTGAAAACTTTCCACTCAATGATTGGACATCATTCAGAATATTAAGGATGTTGCCTTGAAAAGCAGAAAGTATTTGTTTTTCACTGACTGGTACATTTTTGCATCATTTTTCAATTATTTTAACAGCTTCTGACTTTTTCTTGAGCGATAACTGAAATTTTTCTACTTTGCTATGTGAAACATGTATAATATCTGTGCTAATTTTTATGCAAAGTTTAAAAAAATTTGATTTCATGGACTGGTGATAATCTGGTGTTCATGTAATTTTGTTTTGTATATGCCAATCAATGTGCATGGATATTTTAAATGAATGTTTTTAATCATGTATTGTAAAGTACGATCTTCACTTGAGCTATAATAATGTATCTGCGAATGGGTTTCAACAATTTCTCTGCTCCTTGATTTTTATCTGAGCTTTTCGTTAAGTTTTTTTTACTCAGAATTGCGTAGATTTTTTTTAAAATTTTTTGTTACTGCAGAAGTAGACTATATTGTTACAGCCGCTAAAGAGGTAATGTTTTCTTCGACGTTGGTTTGTCTGTTAACTACATGTAGATATCTCAGAAAGTTACGAACAGATTTTCAGGAAACTGTTTTTAAAGGGAATATACATCATTTGCTTTTGCTGTAATTTTCAGAAATGGATGGAATTGGGGGGTTGGAAATATATAGCAAATATAGTTACACTGACTGTGTTTGAGGTTTTGGGTTCAAAAATGCTATAAAAACCAAGAAAAACAATCTTTTCCTGTAGTCTGGTTCCCTGACTCCATTTAAGAAGAAACAGAGCAGTTTACGTACATTGGGGAATTGTAATGGAAGTGCGATGGTCAATTGGGGCCAGTATTTGGAAAAAAAACCAGTTTTTTTCAACGCTGGTCGGCCGATCAGCGTTGGAAATTGATACAAAAATACCACTTTTCTTGAAAATGACAGTATACCAGGTGCCATGATTTTACAGGATGCTTTACACTGTCATTCACTAACAGTACAGCAAGGTATTTCAAAATGATTTGGTAGTTTTATTTTTTGATGTTTGCAAATGTTGTATTTTCTCTTTAAGGGTGGTCCTTGGTACAAACTTGTACAAATCGATTAGATTATGGAAGTGATCCGGATCTGCGTCTGGATGCAGGTTTTTTTTTTAACGATTTTTCACCCACCACATGGAAAACTTTTACCCTGTGTGACCAGCTTTGTGTGCGAGGCACTCACCCGGTGACCCTGTATGCCTTATTGCCCACCTAATCTAACCACACAGGTCAATGGACTAGACCATTTTATACAATGGGGGAGTGGAAAGGTAGACCAACACAGGTATATACATTGTACATTGCAAAGTCTGCATATCCGAACAGGGAGGTAGAACTTGGTCGACATTTTGACAAAATCTTGTTTGATGGCTTTCTTGATTTGACATTAGTTCACTGCTGCGTCCTCCTTGCTATATTTTGTACAAACTTCAAAGCTTTACAAATATTTTGTATGCATTCGCATAATTTGTTTGCAAACCAAGCAGTACCTCTGGGTAAAGAGCTTTTTATTGTCCCTGAAGAGACTTTAAACTAAACACCGCAAAAAACGAAAGTCCACACTCATTAGAGGGGTCATAATGTTTAATCTGATTGTCTTATGATGATGTCATTTATAAAGACCTTTGGGGAATTTCCCTATCGACTGCCTCTATCAACTGCACAGTGCCCGAACAAAGCACGGGTAATTCAATTTTGTGTGCTCCCATGCATACAAGCACTGAGCCATCGATATTCCCTGCCGTTCGCTTCAGGCAGTGTAACATTATCAAGCATCAATTTCCACTTGCCTATTCTTTAAATTTGCAACTTTTCAAACTGCATCATTTTTCTTAAACCGTTGTCAATCTTGGACGATTTACAGTCTTTGGTAGCAAACGGGGTATCAAAATGTAGCCAACAACATTCCCCAGAGGTCTATATGAATGACGTTATCATAAGATGATCAGATTCAAAATAATGACCCCTTTTATGAGTGTGGACTTTTGAGGTGTTTATTAGTACCTGTATCTATCTACACTGTATTACATATCGTTTTATTCACTGTTCAATCCATACAATTGTAGGAATGCTTGGGCTTTCCAGGGAGTAACAACAGGCAGGCGGTTTGGGATGGTACAGTGACAAGTGGGTTGAGCATATTGCATTTTTAGTGGGCACTTTACTGCGTTTTTTTTGTTACTTTTTTTTTTATATATATTTTTTTTACCTAACTTGTTTTAAGGTTTTATTTAGAAATGTTCATTTAAATGCTTTCACTGTCAGTGTTACATGCTCCAATCATGCTTCGTACAGGTCTCAGTAACCATGTAAGCATCTCGGTCGACCTTTGTGGAGTTGCGCCGTGGTGCTGTCGCATTGTGGATGATGTGAGCATGGTTGCGATTATTATGTGCCCAGATACGCTTCTTCCACGATAATCACACAATTTCTCAGTTTTGTTACCCGAGCATGACTTTTGTGCTTGATGCTGATGGTTCTGTCGTAGCGTAAGCAAATCGCAGGTCGACCCGAGGCCGTCTTAACTCTCACATGTGACAAGAATCAAAGAATTGTCCCAACAAAATTCCACCTTCCACATAATCCACTTTAAAAGTGGGGAAATGGACTGCTTATGGATCTCTTATGGTGACTGTCATATACAGTCGAGTCTCGTTAATACAAACTCGTTCGGACCTAGCCAAATTGTTTGTTATATCAGAATTTTGTATTAAGAGGAACATCAGTCCCATTCATTGTGCACATAAATGCATAGTCGGGACTAAGGCCAAAAAAAAAAGTACCCGGTTTCTGGTATGCGCGCGCGTCGCCGTAGCCATGCGCGTCGGCAAATGAAAAAGTTTTTTTTTAAATAAAAGTTGATGTCTCAAAACGGCCAAACTCACTGGTTTGACTTGAATCCTGCTGCTGCACAATTTTAACGTGATTTTAGATGGGGTTATGATCGAGAATAAGCTTTATGTGGCCTCTCTGAACTCCCATATATTTGCACTAAGTTTAGTCGGGCACCATTTGCAGTCATCAGACGACATTTGAAGCAAAAAAAACAGGTAAAAAAAAAAAAAAGCCGCGTCGCCGCACCACTTTTTGGGCAAGCTCCATACCAGAAACCGGAGACTTTTTTTTTTGGCCTAAGGCTTTATGTTTGTTATAACCAGAATTTTGTATTAACAGAGTTTCTACTACGAGATTCGACTGTATTTATATTATTGAAGAACAGTTGTCATACTCATTTAGTGAGCTAACTTCTAATGGTTCATCTATTAAAGAGGAAAGCACATGCTCAAATGTAGATATGATTAAAGTAATTGCAGATGTTTCAGGTAGAATCTATATGCATGTTCCTCATAAAAGGTGGGTTAATATGCCCGAGTTATAATGACGTCATGCTTTGTTTACGTGTGTGCTTTCTTATGGCAGCTTGGTGGCTCATCCTCACCTTTTCACAATGGAGGAAAGCACACATATGAACAAAGTGTGACATCTTCATAATTCATGCTACCCGTAACATCTTAGTGGCTCGGAGGCTGTCATCAGCCTACTAGTTCTTGATGCTTATTTCTGTGGTTGTTATATGCATTTCTCTCGTGTAACCTATAGAAAACAGTAACGAGGCAGGCTTTGTGGGAAATTGACGCAAAATTTCATTTCCCAGATGTTATATCCATTTTGTACATAAATATGGCAGGCATTGACATTTGTACAATCTTGCCTAGATTGGTTTTCAGGAAATGGTCTTACAAGTGGGAAAAGCATGTGACATTTGAAGAAAGAAAAAAACAAATGCTCTCTTCTGCTATCTTGTCAGTTAAAAACAAATTCAGTAGGATTTTATTTGTCATTACAGTGGCTGTGGACAATTGTTGCCAGACTTCAAAGCTTTTACTGTATTATAAATGCTAGAATAACAACTCATAGTGATCCTCAGTGGAATGTGTACATGTACAAAGACTGACATCTAAGTATAGTGTTTATTTGTCATAATTATGGCTGTTTTGAAATGTGGCCAAAATAAATACGGAGACATCTGAAGGCTTGTAAAAGTGAACTGCCTCTGTCATTTATTTACCATTAAAATTCAAGTTTAAAAAGCACATAGGAATTTTGGTAATTACCGGTATTCGGAAACGAACGTACCAATTTAACCAGTTCACGTCGGATGACGTGTATACACGCAACGGTTTTGCGGTATTCGGAACAGATGACGGATAAACAAGCAACGAGCGAGGCATCTGCCAGTGACCCTCTCGCAGCGAGCGAGGCACGAAATATCAGGGTGTGCTACCTGTAGACGACGGCCTCAAACCGTCTGGCATCGAGGTTCTTGAAAACAAACCCGTACCTGGGCCCAGTTAATGTCAAAATAATCCCATCGCGAACTGGTTAATTAACAAAACAAAAAAATACCATACTCAAAGTGCACGAAGAATTGGTCCTAATTTCAAATACCCTGTGAACTTTTCCGCCAGAAATGGTTTCGGTTGAAAGAAATCAATCACTAAAGGTGCTTTTTTGCCCACAGGCACACTTTTTTACAGGCATTAGCATCAAAATCCTGTTATGAGTCCTACATACTTGTCATATGTTTTCTCAAAATGCCTACAAAAGATTATGAGCAATTGTGTTGCAAATTTATGTGAATTACCTTATTACGAACAATTTCCACCAATCAACATTCACAAACAAATTACTACGCCATGAGTTGAATCCTACTACATGTACAATGTTAACATCCATTCACCTCAGCAGTTACAAGGTGATAATGCTGTTTGGAATAACTCGGCAGTACATAATTGGTTGGAAGGTAAAAAAAATGTGTCTGTTCCAGAATTTCAGGAAGTTAAGATGTTGGTAGCCAGGCAAGGTATGTACAAAACATGTTCAGCTCTGCACGTCATTCTGTCCATCTGTGTCCACAATTTGGTGATGTGCACACATAGTAGAGCCTCATTCCCTCCTATAAAACAAAAGACCAGAAAATTCAAACAGATAAGAAACTCATTCACATGACATTTCAAAGATGTTCTTTCGTCTTTTTGTTTTAGGATTTTTTTTGTAAGAAAAGCAGTGTGAAAATCAAAGCTTCAGCTTTTCATGAAGTTTTTCAATCGTTGATCATAATTACAAATGACAATGTCCACAAAAGTCTTTCCCTAATTATTAGGATTATTACATGTACCTCTGCCCTGTTTGTCTGAGACTGGAAGAAGACGGACTCCTTGTGTTTGCACTGAGGGCATGGATGGTCCTGGGTCCGTGGTAGAGTGGGGTCCGCCACCACCTCTGCAACTATCTGTGTTAGCTCACTGCAATGAAGGCAAACATCAATACAATCTCAGGACAAATCTTTGCAGTTATACTGTAATCTGTTCAATCTAAGAGTTGTAAACAAGCTATAACAGCGTGGAATGCTGTGGCCTCATGGTTAAAGGCATTGGATTTGTGGTCTGCGGGTAAAGCAGCCAGCCTGGGGTCATAGTGTGTGCAAGGGCGGATCCAGAACACAATTTTAGGGGGGGGGCCAAAAAAAAAATTTGGTCCCCCCAAAAAGTGGGTCAAAAAATTACGGCGTGGGGTTCGGGGCCCGCTTAAGGGCCCCGAAAAACTTTTGGATTCTAGATGCTCTGTGGTGCGATCTGAGGCAATTTCTGACCACTTTGACCAATGTTTTTTTGAGGAAAAGATGGTGGTGTACTCATTGCCTGCCTTTATTGCGATGTTACATAAAAAAAAAAAAAAATTGGTTTCGTTTTTTGGGGGGGGCCATGGCCCCCTTTGGCCCCCCCCCCTGGATCTGCCCTTGAGTGTGTGCCCTTGGGCAAGGCACTTTGTCACTCATTGCTTCTTGCCACCCAGGAGTAAATGGGTACCTGTGAGGGCAGAGATGGTTATTGTGGATTGTGAGTTCATCCTGGTTACTTCTCATGCTTATGGATGATTACTCTGTATAGTCATTAGTCCTGGCCCAAGACGCTAGTGATCGTTAGTGGATCGAGCACATCATTTTACGTTCATTTGGAAGTAGTGTTCCATCTAATGGCATGATTAAACCAGATCACCTGCTCTCACTAGCATCTTGGGAATCTTGTAGTAGCCATTCAACTTCTTATTTTGTCCCTAGGCTTTCCTAGGGAGCCAATCAGTGATAGCAAAATGATCAATAAGGCCAGTTTATAGTTCATCACGCAACGATGAGCTAACCAGAATGGTAAGCCCTTTTTGGGCAGTTTATAGTCGTTATGCAACAGTTGTAAACATACGCGCATCATACTTGCTACGGGTGCAATATTCAACTTTGAAGTATGAGGATCCAGCATCGCTAATTAGATATGCAACACAGTGATTCCCCACCCAAGATTTGAAATGGGGGGGGGGGGGCACTTAGATACCCATGTTTACTTACTCTACTTCATGGGTGATTTTGTTGACATAAACACAGTTGTTGGTTGCCTCTTGTTGGTAGTCACAATTTCGGCACTGGAACAAAAAATGTACAGTTATCAGATACACAATCAAGTTTACTACAGATGCTTCAAGACAATCATTGTTTCCCAGATTTTCCTACATATGGCTGTGCGGCCGACATGCCTGATGTCAAGTAAATTTTTGCCGATCCCAAAAAGAAAACAATTTTGTACTCTCTGTCTGTACCTGACTGACCTTCTCACCGTTTGACTGTCACAAATGACAGTATTGGGACAGGTTGACGAAGCTTGCCTAGATTCATGTACATCATGTAGCACCTACAAGACATGTGCATTAATTAGTCAAGCCTCCATGTGAACATGGTGAATGGCAAAAGTAGATTTGTTCATTTCCAACACGCTACAAACTTTCCAGCTTATTCTATGATTTCTTTTAGCCTCTCTGAATAAAACAAATATAATTTAGAGCAATATGGGACCAGCTTCTTTAGGCTTATATGTACATGAACCTACATGTAGTCTTTGTTTAACGTTACATGTACATCAGGTCTGCAGATGACAAAAATGTGCACAACCGTCACTAACCGTAAAGTAATAATTATACAACTGTGAACTTACTGCATACAGGAGGACTTTATTCTCTTTGTCTTCCTTTGGGTACAGCATGTTGTTGCTGAAACATAAGGAGAAAAATAACTGGTTTCAATCACCACTAAAAATTATGATGTCAAAAAAATCAAAAATTACATGGGAGCCTATGATTGCTTTTTTTTTAAAACATTTGAGAGCGTGCAAGTGTTCACTGGCAAACAATGATAGACAATTTTGGACTGGAAACTCTATTTAAAAGTTGCTTTAGTCCAGTTTTATGAATTAGTGGACATTGCCTTGTCTACATTGTAGTTCCAATACATTTTACTTAAAAGTCATGGTTCCCGAGTCTGGACTCTGATGTTCAATGCTAACTCAATGCATTTGCAACCAATGGAAAACTGGTGTGCAAATGAACAGATGTTTTGATCGGCTGAAGAAATCTCGCCTTTCCATGATATAGCCGCCTGAACAGAAATATGAATTACAACTTTATCAGTTATCATATTCATAACGTATGTTGTGCACACTGAATTGTGTGGGACAGTGACAGTGTGTGCTTTGTTTAAAATGTCCACCAGGAGTAGGACTTATTGCAGAATATACACTGCCCAGTGGCGTAGCTAGTCACTAGCTACCATGCTACAGGGCGGAGGGGGGGGGGGGGGGGAGCATGCAAAAAACTAAAAAGTTTGTGCCCCCTCAGTGCGCCCCCCCCCCCCCCCAACTGGAAATTTGGCAACCAGAGGCATAGCCCCATAAATGTGGCCAATTTAATAGACTACCTCCATAAATAAAGGCCACACTTCGAACATGTTCAAAAAGATGTAGAACTTTGTCAAATGTTGATTTCACATTTAGGCTTACGTTTGTAGTTTATTTTTACTTTAGAAGCATACTCACCCTTCTAATAGGCTAATCAAAAAGTGCTGCCCTTTTCAGCTGTTTCTTTTTTGTGAAATTTCATGCTGACATTTTGGTAATCCTTACCTTTAGGACCCCGTTCCTATATCAGGTTAAAAGACTCACCAAAACAGCTGACTAAGTCACTTTGGTACTGGTCAGTCATCTGCAAAAGTCAGCTTTGAAGTAAAATTGAACAGAGCTCGTTAAAATAGAGGTGTCCTAAAGATCTAGATAAGGATTACCGAAATTTTGATACGCAAACGTGTGCAACGAATCTGGAATTTGGAAATTTCACGAAAAATAAACATCTGAAAAAGCGATTTTGTGCCTATTTTTCACGTAACCCTTTCTTTTCGCAAGTGGCTGTTTGTTTCCCCTGGTCACCCCCCTCCCCTTCCTTGCAGCGCCTCCCCCCTCCCCCCCCCCCCCGGGGGGGCCGGCCGGGCAGAGAACCCCCCCCCCCCCTCTTTTTTGGGGGGGGGGCCTAGGGCTACCAAGATCGACTTACCATTCTTGACAGAAACGAATGCCGACAAACCCAGGCCCACTATCCGTTTGTGTGTCCTGTCTGCTAAAATCCATACTCATTGCTAAATTTGACTGAAAAAACGTGAGAGAAAGTACTTGTGGGGATGCGGACGACGGACATACACACAACGATATAGTCGCCCTCAGCGGTGAAAAAAAAAACCGAAAAAAACAAATGGTGCACGAAATGGGGTTCTCAGTCGGTAGGTGTTTTCAGTAGTGCTACTGAACCCTACACAACTTGTACACAGTTCTATGGAGTAGCGATTTTCCTGGCGTGTAGGACTTGTGTAGTGACGTTTTGTACACGCGTCTATGGAGTAGCGAGTAGTGATTTCATCTTCCCTCTATGGCGTGTCAAACGTTGCAATATTCAATATTTTGCAATATATATATGTTGGATGTTCACTATGTGTTTGTTATCTTTTACATTTATGTGCGATGTTCAATATAAGTGTAAGATGTTTTTCATTATTTGCGCGATGTTTAATATATTTGTGCGATGTTTTACAATATATGTGCGATTTCAATATACAGGCGCGGATCCAGGGGTGGGCCGCGGGGGCACGTGCCCCCCGTCAAATTGAGTCCACAAAAAAATAAAATGAACAAAACAGGTGGGAAAAGAGGGGGAGGAGAGAGAAAAGGAGGGAAGGAGGAGGGCAACCTTGTAACAAAAGTACTGGCGCCGATATTAAACATCAGCGGCCTGCAAAAATTGTGTACTGGCCGTATGACACAGTACTGGGAACTCGAGAAGCTTCGAAATAAACTGCGATCCCAGCCACCGTACGTACTCCATACGTAACCCTGCATAGTATATCGGTTTATGAAATGCGATTCATTATGAGCGTATGTACCTGTACGAAAAACACGCTCGTGTCTGAGCGCGACATACACGTTGTACGCTGCTCTTTGGATGGACCACACTATTAGTAAAGAGGTGTGTTTTCGTAAGAACAATTTGCCAGCATTTCTTCCACGCGCTTTTCAAGGAGTCCAAAACATGTCAGTGTCCGTAGAAAATTTCCGTAGAAAATCTTATCTTATTGATAAACTGAAAATTTAAACTTGATACAAAACATTAGAAAGCATGCAAAAGTTTACAAACTAAGTCTATACAATTCCGTTTCAAAAATAAAATGCACGAAAACAATTATGCAGACGAAAATGGTTATCAAGTGAAAAACAGAAGAAACTTAAAAGGCTTGTTAAAGCAAGAGTATATAAACCAATGAAAAAAATGCTTATTTAATTTAAAACATTTTGCTCAAATAACTCAGGGAAAGAGGGGCCAGGAATCGTCTCAGATTGCACCACAGAGCATCCAATTATCAAAAAATTTCCCGGGGCCCTTAAGCGGGCCCCCGACCCCACGCCGAAAGACATTCGCCCTCCGCATTATTAGTCCTCGGGAAAGATCTCCCTACGCACCCTTAAAACAGTTTACAAACTAAGCCTATCCAATTCCTTTTCAAAAATAACATGCAAGAAATGTATTATGCAGTCGAAAATACCTGGTTATCAAGTGAAGAACAGAAGAAACTTAACCAGGCTTGTATTAAGAAATACAAGAGTACACTAAACCAATGAACTAAAAATCAAAAAAACACATGGTGTTACCGCAAACCAAAGCGATAATGACAAAAAAATCCTGCAATTTTCACAACATTTTGCTAAAATTGGGCCAGGAATCGCCTCAGATTGCAACACAGAGCATCTCTGGAATCAAAACCCAGTACTTGCGGAGAAAATTTAAGATATAGCGCATCAATGCCAGTAGGACTCCTATGTGCAGTCAGTCTAACAGCCATGCCTGCAAGCATTTCCCGGGGCCCTTCAGTGGGCCCGCGCCCCGAACCTCACGCCGTAAGACACTGCTCCGCGTTCGCATTAGTCCTTGGTCCCAGCGCATCGCCCGTTGCAACAGTTTACAATCTGAGTCACAATGCAAGAAATTATGAAGACGAAAATACATGGTTTGCACATTTGAAGTACACAGTAGCTTAAAAGTTGTAAAAACAAGAGTATATATATTTTTTTAAAATCCTTATAAGCTTCACAACTTTTGCTCAATTAATTCAGGGGGAAAGGGGCCAGGAGTCGCCTCAGATTGCACCACAGAGCATCTAGAATCCAAAATTTCCCGGGGCCCTTAAGCGGGCCCCGGACCCCACGCCGTAAGGGCTTCGCGCTCCGCGCTCGCATTATTCCTCAGAGCAAAATGCTCTAAAAGTGTGCCCCCCGTCTAAAGAAATCCTGGATCCGCGCCTGATATATGTGTGCGATGTTTTACATTTATATGCGATTTTCAATTTATATGTGCGATGTTTTTGACGATATATATGTGCGATGTTTTCAATATTATGTTCGATTTTTTGCATTAAATGTGCGATGTTTTTCGATACAATTGTGTGTGTTGTTTTACAATATATTTGCGATATTCTCAAATATGTGAGCAATGTTTTACAAATATGTTTGACATTTCGAGCTATTTGTATTCGATGTTTCATAGGTATGTTTGCATTCGATCTTTTGCAATATGCATTTGATGTTTCCCTTTTCATTCGATGTTTCGTTAAGAGTCAAAGTCTGGTTACTATACCGCGAAAGTCTGACCATTTTGCCTAAAGTCAGTGTATGAGACGTCAGGGGGATCGCGTAAAGTGATTAGAGCCAGACCTAAACGGTAAAAAACCGGAATTGTGGGTAATTCTTTAAGCATACGCAATGCGTTCATCATTGTTTGGGCAGTACCCCCAGCTGTGCCTGTACTACCCATAGTGTTATGTGCATCATCTATGTATTGAGGAGTGCATGACACATGGTCTGAGCTCCAAGGCCGATGTGCACCTGTCCCGTTTAATGATCCAGTTACCTGATAATTTGTTAGCATAAGCTGATGTAAAATTGGGCAAAATTAGATGTTTAAGAAAAAAAATCAAATCCGGCAGTGTAAGGGGTTAACCTTGAATTTTTTTTAGCAAAATCGGGAAAAATCAGATGTTTCTGGAAAATTGCAGATTGTATGGGGTTAGATGTTTATGAAACATTTCAAATTGTAAGGGGTGAGCATTGCATATTTTAGCGAAATTGGGCAAAATCAGATGTTTCCGAAAAATTTCAGATGTAAGGGATTAACCTTGCTTTTTTAGTGAAATTTTGCAAAGTTAGATGTTATAAAAAATTTCAAATTGAAAGGGGTTAACCTCGCATTTTTTTTAAAGCGAAAATGGGGAAAAAATCAAATGTTTCTGGAAAATTGCAGATTGTAAGGGGTTAACCTTGCTTTTTGAATAAGATTGGGAAAAATTAGATGTTCATGAAAAAAATTCAAATTGTAAGGGGTTAACCTTGCATTTTTTTTAGCAAAATAGGACACAATCAAATGATTCTGGAAAATTGCAGATTGTTAGGGCTTAACCTTGTATTTCTAGCAAAATTGGGCAAAAAGAAATGTTTATGAAAAATTTTAAATTGTAAGAGGTGTATCTTGTATATTTAGTAAAATTTGGAGCATATTTTACTAAAATTGGGCAAAATCAGATGCTTCAAAAAAATCCAGGTGTAAAGTTTCCGCAAAAACAGCTGTTGACAAAGAGCCCAATGTTGAACTTTACTGAGTCTGAGGTCTATCGAGGGGACGATCCTTATTTCAACTCCCGGAGATTCGCTGACAGTCGCTATTTTTCTTTTTAAGAAAGTCGAAATAGCTGAAGAGGGAGGTGAGAATCTATATGTGCCCAGATACAAAGAGTAGAAATCTACGCGTCTGCCTTTTGAAAATACACAATTGCGGTGTTCATTGTTGCGTAATGATCCGCCTAGCACACGACTGTTTTGCACATTAAGCTGTGTTATGCAGCTTCCTAACAAACCAAACACACTGTGCTCATTATATCGACTTGTTTTTACCCATTAAGGTAAAGTAAATGGACCCAGTAATCTTCCTGGCGCGTTTGCTCACCTATAAAGACAACTTTTCTCAGTTTAAGGAAAATCTTAAGGTAACGAAATGGCCGAGTGGTTACGATTCGTCGTCCACGGTTAGCGGGGTCCCGGGTTCGAATCCCGCTGGTGTCTTTTTGGTTTTTAACGTATGAGTTCAATTATTCACTATAAGAGATTTAATTTCCCGTCGTAAAGTACCAACAGTACCTTAGCTTAATCGGTAAGCACTGCTGTTGGTACTGTCCGCGAGTTCCAGGTTGGCGCCTTCGTACAGGTTCAGGGCATGTGGTCCACTCGGAGGATCAGGGCTTAGGGGCCGCCCTGTTCCTCCCTTAGCTCTTTGCTTTTACATGGTGCCTGGCCCTCCGGGGTTATATGGATGGATAGGGAAGGAAGTGTGTATTGGTCGGGGACGCCGAGACCCCGGAAGAGAACTAAGGGATCGGCTGGGGCATTGTTATGGCTCAGACTGATCCCTGAAAGCTTGACCAGCACATAACTTTTTGATTTTTTTTACCCTCTATCTTTTATACTTTGGTTTAGTTTGATATCTACAGCTGCTCGGCAGGTCTACGGGTAGTATCAAAATTGAAACAAAGGTGTATGTCATAAATCAATGAATATTTCATAATTGACTATAATCAAAACGGAGTTTCGTTTGATCAATTTGACTATCAATATATAATGACGCGATTGCCAATTGACGTTAGAAACGCCATAAATTATACCGGGAAAGAATAAAGATGTACATTGTAATATAAATATTATTGATACATCTTTCAAATAACGTGTTTTTAATTGTGAGCATTCCAAACAATACAGTAATTCGCAATAGTAATAGAATGGTATATGATAGCACGATCAATGCGTCTCTATTAAATTGAAGAAAAAAATAATCCAGGCCCCTATGTGTGAAATATTCTTTGATTGACTATGAGCATTCCATACGAATGAGTTAATTCGCAAAATATAGCAACAACAAAAGAGAAAGGAAAAAGAGAAATTCCTTTACCCTAAAAACTGGAAAAATAATTTGTTTTAAAAAAGTCAAATGGGACACTTCATGTATTGATTTTTAAAGCTTGCAAGGGGTTAACCTTACATTTTAGCAACATTGGGAAAAATCAGATGTTTCTGGAAAATTGCAGCTTGTAAGGGGTTAACCTTGCATTTTTAGTAAAATTTAGATGTTTATGAAAAATTTCAAATTGTAAG